CGGGGGAACCGGCAACACCAGGGGGCGAGTGTAACCTGCAGGGGGAACGGGCGACACTGGGGGGTGAGTGTAACCTGCAGGGGGAACCGGCAACACCAGGGCAAAGCACCTCCGCAGCCAGGAGCAGCCAGCACCCCCCGGGGGAGGCGGAGCGCCCAGCCCTGGCCCCAGATCCTGCCCCGTGAGCCAGCTCTAGATCTGCATTAAACCTGAGCAAAAAGCTGCACCGGCAGCCGTGAGCGCTCTCCAGGATGGAAAACGTGAACTACGAAGATGAAGACAAGTGAGAAAGATAAACTGAGGGGTCCTGTGTGTCCCACGAGGCCTTTTACTGTAGACGACTTGACGTGCCCAGCCAGAGCCCCGGCCACAAGCAGGCTCTTATCTAAGTGTGACCACGCACACCACGAACACAGCTAACCCGTAACACACTTGCCATGCCAGCACGGGGGACACAATACAACACGTGTGCCACCACGTGGAGTCAAGCAGTGCCACCAAACGCTGGGTGCAGATAGCACTGGAAGGAAGCTCTGTGGCCAGCCAGGCCCAGCTTTCAGTAGGTGCCGGGTGAACAAAGGGACGTGTGATACGTCCCTCAGAGAATCATGGAGGGAAAAGGCCGCCAGTCCCCACACGTGGGCCAGGGAGACAGGAAAGCTGCCCGCGAGAAGCTGCAGGTCTTACCAGTGACAGAGGAATTGGACAGGATGGAGAAGGAACAGACGCTGTGGGCCTGACTCTCTGATGGTCGCGGAAGCAGCGTCCTCTGCAAAGGAAAGACACGGTGGTCACGGGAAGGAAATGGCCCCCACATGGCGTCACTCAGGACAGCAGCACTAGGCTGGAATGGGACACCTGGAAGACCAGAGGCCACACGACAGGGCCAAGCACACAGGAGGCCTGGCGGTCTGAGGACAGTCGTGCTCCATGGCCCCCGGCCTCACAGTCCCGGGCCGTCTCTGGAGACGTCCACCTGGAACCTACAGTGGTCTTCTGGATTTGGCTGCGATGCCACCAGCTACACAAATCTGTGTGCAGTCACTGCACTGGGCCGCGCCTGAGCCACGCCCTCCCAGGTGGGTGAAGCTCCCGCCAGCAGCACACGTCCAGGCTACCCAGCCTCTGGGCGGCACTCACTGCTGCTGCTCCAAGGCGGGCCCACGGGACAGCTCTCGTGTGTGGTGCCGACAGGGCCTGAGGGGAGGAGCACCTGCCCACGTGACGGGAGGGACGCCACGTCCACCCAGGGGCCGAGGCAGGGGGTGCACTGCTATTAACAACACGGAGGTTTGGTGTCGGCTTGGCGCCACAGGCTGAGATGAAGCCAACACACTTCCATGAAGGGCCAGGAGCCAAACAGCGCAGGCTCTGTGGGCCCCATGGTCTCTGGTGCCACTATTCCTTGCGGTGTGACAGCAGCCACGGACAACTTGTAACAAATAAGCCTGGCTCTGTACCAATAAAACTTTCTTTACAAAAACAGTAAGGGTGGAGGACGTGTATCACGTGATCCCACTTACACGAAACATCCGTGATAGGCAAACCGAGAGACAGGACACAGGTGTGTGGTTGCCAGGGGCTGGGGACAGAGGACAGAGGACCAACTGCTGAGGGGACAGGGTTCCCTTCTGGAGTGACAGGAAATACTGTAAACTCAGGCTGTGATGACAGCCACGGAGTGTAACTGTAACAAAAACCATCGGACTGCACACTTTGAACGCGTGAACTGAAGTTCATGTAGAAATTACAGAGCGGTAAAATCGTGAAAACTAAACGGCAGTGCACTGGACAGTGGGCGGAACTCGGCCCATGGGCCACAGTCTGAAATGGGAGCAAGTGGCCCCAGAGTTCATGCTGACTACACGAGCTGCGTGCACACCAGACAAGCCGAACAAAGCCCGCCTGGCATTTCCAGCACGCCTTCCTGCCTGAGACGCCTTCCTAAGACCTCACAGGCAGCCTCCACCTCCGAACAAACTAATCTTGAGAGACGATCTTCACAAGGCGCACAAAGGAGGCCTGCGCTCATCCAGAAAGGACGCGCTCCCGGGTTCTAAGCTGCTGGTCCTTTTAGCTTTTCGGCTTCACTTCCTTTTCTCTTTACCTCGAAACGGACCCAACATCTTCCTCGCATTTACTTCCTGACGGCCACTCTGGTTTACACGTGGCGCCTCCGGGTCCCCAAAGGACACTACGATGAGCTCGTGAAAGGTCTGGCCTGGGCTGGCATCCGAGCCTTACCAGCTGCTTCCGCCAACCAATGAGGACATTACAAACAGGTGTCCCAGAGCCCCTGAACAGACCTGAACCTGGAACGATCCTGGGACTCAAAGCCCCCGCACTTTCTCTGCAAGCGGTTTTTAGTGCTGTGCGAATGCCAGCCTCACTTCCAGGTCTAGTTGACTTCAGTGTTGTCACTTGCAGGCCTGACTCAGTTTAGTTACTTTATTTGCCCCGTCCCTGGGAGGGAGAGCAGGGCAGGAATCTCTCCCGACTTACACCGTGAGACCCCGACAGCTCAGACAGAGCCAGTGTGCCCCAAGCAGCTGGGCCGGGGGTGATAGGGAGGCTGGTGCGGCCTCACATCGGCCCGCTCATGCAAGAACGAAAGCATGGCACTGGCCCTCCACCCGCCTGCACTGACGGTCCCACCCGCACCACCACCCACCCGCCCACACGGACGCTGTCACCCGCACCACCACCCACCCGCCCACACGACGCTCTCACCTGCACCACCATCCATCCACTCGCCCGCACGGACGGTCCCACCCGCCCGCACGGACTCTTTCACCCGCACCACCACCCGCCCGCCCGCACGGACGCTCTCACCCGTACCATGATCCACCTGCCCACACGGACGCTCTCACCTGCACCACCACCCGCCCATCAGCACGGACGGTCCCACCCACACCACCATTCACCTGCATGGATGGTCCCAACCGCACCACCACCCACCTGCCCACACGGACGCTCTCACCTGCACCACCAGTGGCTTCCGCAGGTGCCGGTTCCGCAGCTTCCGGGGCTTTGGCAAGAAGAAGTCCGACTGCATCTGCAAAGGCAACAGCAGCGCTCCTGAGGGGCCTCCCCGTCGGCACAGCAGCCCGGCGTGCAGGGCGCGGGGACCGGCACTCACGCTGACGGAGCCCAGGTGCTGGTGCAGCGTCAGCTCGCCTTCCTTGCTGGGAGAGAAGAGCTTGCCGTGTCGGCTGTTGGGCGGCAGAGTGGTGGGGACGGCAAAAAGGCCCCCGTCAGCGTCGCTGCTTCCTGTGCTCGGGGGGCCGGCTACCAGGAGGGGCCTCAGGGGGTTCCTGAGACCTGGAGGAGAAGGGGAGTCAGCAGCCCTGCCCACTGGCACCCAGCTCTCCAGGGAGTGAAGGTGCCTGCAGGGCAAAGCAGGAAGTGCAAGATGCACGTCTCAGGAACACGCCAGCGACCCGTTCCACCACCACACAGGGACACCGTGTCGCAGCCCTGTGAAAAGACATTCCCTGGAATCCAGACTTTCCGGAGCCACGAAACCACCACCCTAGATCACCTTTAAACCTTAAACCAAAAAGCCCCTGCAGTCTTCTCAAAACCAAATGACAGTTTAGCTTAACTAGAAACAACGGCTGCCCTTGAGCGCTGTGCTCTTTCAAGAACAAACTATATGGAATCTAACTGCCAAGAGCAACTCAAAAGGTTAGACGGGAACCGTAGGGAATGGTGAGTTCATGTTAATGGAGGAGGAACAACTCCGAAAAGGCAGATGAGAACGGCTGCACAGCTGGAAGAACGGGACCCGTCACTGGATCGACGTCCAGAAATGCTTAAACTACGCGTGTGTTCTGTGGCAAACAGCCCCGGCAACAACAAATGAAGGAAAGATGCTTTTCTCTCTCGTTCGCTTCACTGCCAGCTCCTACGAGGAGTGGATCGTGGGCCCCAGACAGGGCGTGTGCCCTTCATTGTTGACGGTCATCAGGAGGGCAGCTGCATCAAAGCCTTCTCATCACCAAAGGCCCTTCGAGAGCTGCTCGTGGGGACCAGGGCTTGGCAAACGGTCTCTGTGAAGGGCCCAAGGGGAAGTGTTTTGGGCTTCAGGGGCCACACGGGCTTTGTGTCAACAACTCAGCTCTGCAGTGGTAACACCAAAGCAACCATTGGAACCACAGAAAGAACATGTGTGCCTATGTGCCAATAAAGCTTTATTTACAAAAAGCAAGTGGTGGGCCGGATTGGGCCCACAGGTCACAGTGTGCCGACTGTCTGTATCTTGAATTGTTCAAAAAGCAGACCCAAAGACGAGAGGACAGACAGTACTTATGCAGTAACTGCTGTTTTGGGGGACTGCTAGCTGCACCCTCAGAATCCACGGTAGGGATGGTTCCTTACTTCATAGATCTGTTAGAAGACACTAACCCTGATGGAGCCCAGAAATGTGTCTTCCGAGCACTAGGCAGACTCTAGCATTGACAAGCTCACGGTCTAGAAGCATTGCTAATTTACAAAGAAGAGGACACAGAATCAAAGGAGAAAAAAAAACAGTGGGACACGAAAAAAGACTGGACTCTCTACCAGACATCTGCCCACCAATTCGGCTGCTAACAAAAAGGTCGGTGGTTTGAACCCACCAGCCGCTCCATGGGAAAAAGACGAGGCAACCTGCTTCCATAAAGATCTCAGCCTTGGAAACCCTACAGGGCAGCTCCCCTCTATCCCACAGAACTGCCAGGAGTTGGAATCAACTTAACGGCACTGGATTTGGTTTTTTCAGTTATCTCTGACAGAAACGACTCAAGGGCTGCCACCATGCCTTTCGTCACCCACAGGGAAGAAAATAACCCAGGTGATGAAAAAAAGAACCAGCCACACAGGTAGGTGGTGGTGACTCTACCATGATGGTGGCCCCCACCTTCTCAGAGGTCCCACCAACAAGGACAGTTATCAGGCCATCCGCAGGCAGGTGGGTCACAGCTCACAGAGTGAGAGCAAGCAGGACGCTGGCGGTGTTCCCCGGACACAAAGTCACCTGGAGAACCAGCAGCACACTGGGCGCCCAGTGCCACGTCCTCTAGAAAGAGCCTGCCCACGCAAGCGCTGGCATGCCAGGGAGAGGCACACCACACTAGACAGCACGACCTGGGCCAGAGCCGGATCCCACTGTCCAGAACAGCGCGAGGGCCAGCAGACGGGCTCGGCTGGGGCAGCCAGGACGACTCCCGCCATGCTGACAGGGCAGCACAGGGCGGCCGGGGGCGCTCAGCCCCACCCCAAGCTCGGCCACCAGGCTGGGGCAGGACTGTGACCACTCCACCTCCTGCATGTGCCCCTCCCCTCGGCAGCAGAGGGGAGGGGACCTCGGGTAGCCACAGGGGTGCTTCACGTCTCCCTCTCAGCATCCCTGCAAGTCCCACCATTCTCCGCGTGACCACGTCCCTGCCGGCCCCACCATTCTCCGCGTGACCACGACCCTGCAGGCCCCACCATTCTCCGCGTGACCACGACCCTGCAGGCCCCACCGTTCTCCGCGTGACCACGTCCCTGCAGGTCCCACCTTTCTCCGTGTGACCACGTCCCTGCAGGTCCCACCATTCTCTGCATGACCACGTGGGTCCTTCTAGGGAGGCATGGTGCCCTTACCCCGGGACCTATGGCTGGGCCACCCCACTGGAGAACCCTGAAGCCCTGCCTAGCCATCAGCTGGGACAAGGGCAGACTGAACCGAAACCACCAAACTCACTGCTGTAGAGTCAATCTGACTCATAGCAACCCCTCCTTGCGTTTCTGAGGCGGTATCATTACGGAAGTATATTGCCCAATTTTCCTTCTGAGGAGTGGCTGGTGGGTTTGAACCGCCAGCCTTCTGGTTAGCAGTCAGATGCCTATGGTTCTGTCCTCTGCCTAGGACCCGCCCACCTGCGGGAGACCCCTCCCCAAAGGCCTCTCTGCGCCAGCACTCAGATGCTCTAGCATCTCAGATGGGAAGACCTGGGGCTGCAGATCCAGGAAGAGCCAGCACCCTCCAAGAGCTCTGACCCCCAGCACAGGAAGTAAGGATGCCTGTGTCCCACACAAGGCGAGAGTCTCCTGTCACGAGACGGGCCACAGCCACATGAGCCCATCCCTCTGACCCCTGGGCTGTGGCCTGTGCCTGCCCCCGCCCCAGGACCAAAGCCCTGCACTCGGCCCCTTTCCTCCCTGCCCTCAGGGAGGGTGACGCTGGTCCCTTGATGCCGTCCGCAGAGCAGCCCTCCGACATGGTGAGGCATGCAGGCTGGTGGCAGGCATGGTGTAGGTGGCCAAGCCTCACCTGAGGAGCAGGGTGCAGCATGTGGGGAGAAGGCCTTGCTGCGGGGGCAGCGGGGGCTCCGTGAGCTGACGGCCACCACTTTCCCGGGGAGGGGCAGCGGCTGCTCCTCCTGGGCGGGCTTTGCTGAGGCCGTGGGCGTGGCATTCGCTTCAGGAGCCTAGACAGGAACAGAACAGAATTCAACCTCAGCCCAGGCCCAAGGGCCACAGGGACAGGGCGCCCTTTAGAGCTGAGGCTGCTGGGAGGGCACACAGCATGTGCCCACCCAGCCTGAGGTCTCCCAAAAAGCACCCACCCAGCCTGGGGTCTCCAGGGCCGCCCAGAAAGTGCCTGCCCAGCCTGGGGTCTCCAGGGCTATCTGGAAGGTGCCCACCCAGCCTGAGGTCTCCCAGAAGGTGCCCGCCCAGCCTGGGTTCCCGGAAGGTGCCCATTTAAAACCCTATTGTGAGGCCAATCACTGGGGTCACATTTTCCTTGTGCAGACGGTGCTGACCACTGCCAGGGGGGCTGCTTCCAGATAAGCACTCCTATCACGGAGGAAGCTGAGAGCATGGGGTGGGGGGACACAGCACGGGGCCAAGTCCCATAGTGGAACCTGCTCAACGCGGGCAACAGCCATTTGCCACTCAAAGAAGCCAGTCAACAGCGGCTCCCCCTGCAGCCAGAGCCCAAATCCCAACCGTGGCTCCCCAAACAGACCAGCTACGGGGCCACCTCTGCTCTGTGGGCATCGGGAGGAAGCCCCTGATTGGGTTTCTAGGGAAAAGGCACTCACGGCAGCCCCTGCTCAGATGGATCCATGACCTCACAGGGTGCTACCAAGCCCACGTGTGGACTCACCCACCCCCGGGGCTCACCTCGGGGACACCCCACCCATGCATGACCCTGTCTCTGGTGACATCACTGTCACCAGGGACCCGACCAGGTGCCCTGGAACCCTCCCCTCCATGCTCCCTCGGCACACAGAGCCCGGCCCACAAGGGTAACCTCGCCGGCTCTGGGCCCCTCTCCCGGTCCACAGCCCCGGCAGGCTCCACCCTTTCTTTCCACAGTCCTTCTGCCTCCACCTTCCTTCCTACACAGACAGCCTGGCACGTCTGCCGGCCCCCCGCCTGCCTCAGTCCGGGGCAGTAGCTATGGAGAGACCCCAGCCCTCCCAGAAGGAAGACAGCACGGGACCAGAGGCTCTCAGTGCTCCCGTCAAGGCTGCCGACCCGACGAGGGCCCCCGGCTCACAGCTCCCACATCTCAGGACACAGCTGACCCCCGATGGCTTCTCAGCCCTCCTGCAACCAAAAACCACGTGCAAGACTGCCAGGAGGGCGGTCAGAAGTGCACCCCGACCCCGACCCTCCACGAGTGCTAGCTGCAGCCCGCCAAGCAGCCAGAGCCCGAATCCCAGCCCCGGCTCCCCACTCCACCCGCAGCCCAAACCTGAATCCCAGCCCTGGCTCCCCAGGCTGCCAGACCCCAAATCCCAGCCCTGGCTCCCCACCCCCTGTAGCCAGAGACTGAATCCCAGCCCCAGCTCTGCCCCCACCCAGAGCCCAAATACCAGCTATGGCTCCCCACGTACCTATCAAGACACACACTGTCCCAGACAGAGCCTGAGTCCCATAAGGCCCCCCACGCCCCTGTCGAGGCACACACTGCGCCCAGCAGAGCCTGAGTCCCATAAGCCTCCCCACACCCCTGTCAAGGCACACACTGTCCCCAGACAGAGCCTGAGTCCCAGAGCTCGAACCCCACCTGGCCGGGGCCTGATGACCAGCCCCAATGTGTCTCATCTGCCTGCTCCATGCTTCCCAGAAACCTGGATTCTAACACAGCTTAACACGCACCCCAGTGTGGGCCACCACATGGCCGCTTGGCATCATGACACAGCTTAACATGTGCCCTAGTGCAGGCTGCAGGCCCCAACACAGCCACCCGGCAGCGTAACATGGCTCAACACGCACCCCAGCACAGGCCACCACACAGCTGCCCGGCAGCACGACAGGCCTTAACATGCGCCCTGGTGAGGGCCACCACACAGCCATCGGGCAGGGACCAGAGCCCTCAGGAAGGGAGTGAGGTAGTCTGCAAAGAGCTCCAGGCAGGCTCCTGGCCGCCCACCACAGACCTGCTCTCTGAACTCCTCCTGGTGCAGGCGGGCGGGCGGGCGGGCCGGTGAGGACCCGCGGGCCTGGGTGGCCCTCCTCAGGGCCCCGCTGGGCCCCACTCACCAGCTTGGGGTTGACCTCGGTGGCGATGAGCCTCAGGAGGCAGCTGAGGAGCCGCTGCGTGTGCAGGGCGGCAGGGGCGCCGGCGCGGGGCTCGGGGCCCTGCACGGCCAGCCAGTCGTACTCCAGCTGCAGCTTGCTGGGCTTGCCGAGCATGAGGTAGACCTCAGCCAGCGTGAGGCTCTCGGACGTCTGCAGGTTCCAGCCCTCCTCACGCACCTGCTGGGCCAGCCGGCTGGCGGGCGGGCCCTGAGGCGGCATGGCGTCCAGGGCCCCGCCCTTCTCCACGGGCTCCTCAGCAGGCACCTCGGCCGAGTCCCTAATGCTGCCGTCACTCTGGCCGGGCTGAGGCTCCAGCTGGGCTGGGACGCTGACAGGAGACGGACCCCGAGCCAGGTCAGCCACCTCCAGGGCACTGGGGTCGCTGGGGGGGTGGGCCTCGGGCACGGTGCAGCCCCCAGGGGGCGGGTGCTCGCCCCTCGTCCGTGAGTCCGCACAGTGGCACTTGTCGGGGATGATGAGGTCCTGGCAGGACTTCATGTAGCGGGGGAACGGGTCGAGCAGGGACAGCTCCTCATCCAGCTCCGGGGGCTGGCCACAGGCGCACGGCTCAGCGGGCACGGGGTCTGGGGTGTGGGCGAGGCTGTCCAGGGGACCCTTCTCCAGGCCTCCAGCAGCATCCAGGGGCCCAGTGGGGGGCCTGTCAGGAGCGTCGGGGCTGCTGAGGCCGGGGGTGGCCCCCTCCCCAGGGCCGCTCTCTGGGGAGCTCTCCCCGGAGCTCTGAGAGGCGTCTGCGGGAGCAGGGGCCCGCGAGCCAGTCTTGCCCTCAGCCGCGCCCCGGGGGCACCTGACCTGGCCCCGAGCCGTGCCCTGGCCACTCTGGATGCCCAGGATCTGGGCGGGTGGCAGCACATGGGTGTCGCGGGCACCCTGCTTGCAGCGGCCGCTCTCCTGCCAGTGCACCGTGCAGAAGGCCTTGGAGTGCACCACCCGGGCCACGCCCGGCAGCGGCGTCACCGTGCAGTTCTCGCCCGGGAACAGGTGCAGCGCCACCCTCTCTGGGGTGCGGGGGTGCCCGGCCACATCAGCACAGGGGTCCTGCCGCTCCTCCAGCGTCTTCAGCTGCAGCGCCATTAAGGACCACACCCTGCTTGGCCCACCCACCCTGCCCTCCCCACTGGGTGTCCCTGGCCAGCGCCTCGCACGGTGTCCTAGGGTAGGGCCCGAGGTAGGCCTCAGGTCACACCCTGACCACACACAGAACTCAGCATTCTCCTCAAGAAATGCGCCCTGAGATGTAGGAGATCCTGCATAAAGAGGGAGAACAATGTGGTACAAAACTCAAAATCATTTGGAGGCCAAAAAAAAAAAAAAAA